ATGGGCAAGGCCATCCCTGCTATGAAGATGGCTGAGTCTGGCTGTAAAGCTTGATCTCCTTAAAGCTTTCAAGTCATCTGACCATTCCTTGCAAGGAACCTGAGCTTCCCCAAACAACGTTTCTGTTATCACTTGGCGCAAAGATTCAGGTCCACATAACGTTAGAATATGTTTTTCTTCCTCTGTAGAAAGAGGAAACAAAGATTTCAGTTGGGCTGAGTTTTCCAGTTTTAGGTGAAAGTGCAGGGTGAGTGGTTAAGACTTTTTTTTATGGTTGACATTTTTTTTCTACTCGTAAACTAAACAATTGGCATTCTTATTTTATGTACTAATCAAAGAAAACCAGACAAAAATCAGACAAAATCAGGCGAGGGCCCAATTCTTGGACTCCAGTAAATAAATTAGCCAATGTGCTTCCTCTCTGGGCTGGGACCTAGTTCGCGGCGACATGGCCAAACGTACCAATAAAGTCGGGATCATAGGTAAATACGGGACCCGCTACGGGGCCTCCCTCTGGAAAATGGTGAGGAAAATTGAAATCAGCCAGCACCCGAAGTACACTTGCTCTTTCTGTGGCAAAACCAAGATGAAGAGACGAGCTGTGGGGATCTGGCACTGTGGTTCCCGTGTGAAGACAGCAGTTGGCAGTGCCCGGACGTATAATACACTTCTGCTGTCGTGGTAAAGTCCGCCATCAGAAGACTGAAGGAATTGAAAGACCAATAGTAGATGTCCCTTTGAGATATCACTGGCCTAGAGTAAATGGGTTAATTTCTCTAACAAAAATAAATTAATTAATTAGCCAATGTAATAAATGCCACTTTTGACAGCCCGGTCCTGAGACAGTGCGGACAGCCAGCAAGGCTTTTTCCAACCATTTCTCATCTATCTTTGAATTTCTTTCTTTTTTTTTTTCCTTAAGACGGAGTCTTTCCCACTGTTAGATCTGGCAGAGAAAAAAGGAAAGACGGAGTCTCGCTCTGTCACCCAGGCTCGAGTGCGATGCTGTGATCTCGGCTCACTGCAACCTCTGCCTCCCGGGTTCAAGCGATTCTCCTGCTTCAGCCTCCCAAGTAGCTGGGATTACAGGCAACTGCCACCACGCCCGGCTAATTTTTGGTATTTTTAGTAGGGACAGGGTTTCACCATGTTGGCCAGGCTGGTCTCTAACTCCTGACCTCAAGTGATCCGCCCACCTCAGCCTCCCAAAGTGCTGGGATTACAGGCCTGAACCACCGTGCCTGGCCTATCTTTGAATTTTTAATCATCTCAGGTAGCTGTTTTCCATTGTTTCTCTACCAGTGTTTCTCAATCTTGTCCTGCCAACTGGTAAGTTTCCTGAGGGCAGCAAAGGACCACTGCTGACCTGTGGGAAGGACCAAAGGCCTGCTGTGAACTTAAACCTGGACAGGAGAGAACATTCAGGCAAGGGGTATTTCACTGAGGTTTTGACACAGAAAAAAATAAGAGGCCAACTGAATGTGGACCCATAAGGGAATGGTTAACTGAATTATGGTACATAAGCTCAACACAATGCTATGCAGCTATGGTCCACACAGATTACACGTAGTAATGTGGAAAATACCAATGATATATATCCCGTGACAGTCAGAGTCCCTGCAGGAAACAGATGGCATGCTCAAAATTGGGGAAATTGAGAAGGGTCTAATAAAGGGGCTATTTACAAAGGTGTGGGCGGCTCTGGAAAAGTGACAGAGCAGAGGGGCACTGTTTCCGTGGCTAGGCCAGGTGTCGAGGGAGAAGGGGGGCCTGCTGGAACATAAGGGGAGAACTACCTGGAGATGGTCCAAGGGCCCCCAGATAGGAGCTGCAGGCTTTGATGGAGGGACACTCTTAGTCTTCGGTGATTTGGAAAGGAGGAAAAAGGGGAAGGAATATTCCTCAAGCCCAACCAGAAGCCAGAGGAGGGCAGGGGAGCAGCACACAGCAGCCTCCTGGAGCACCGAGCAGGGAGAGGGGAGAGGGGAGAGGGGAGAGGGGAGAGGAATGAGGGGAGAGGGGAGAGGAATGAGGGCAGAAGGGAGAGGGGAGAGGGCAGAGGAGAGAGGGGAGAGGGGAGAGGGGAGAGGGGCGAGGGCAGAGGGGAGAGGGGAGAGCGGAGAGATTTGGCATGAACTAAAGGAGGCTGGAAAGCCTCCAAAGCAGCCTCAGAAGTGAGTTCTCTCTGCCCTCCTGCCCTCCTGTTTCTTGCTCCTCTTTCTTCCCCCTAAAGTCCTAGAAAACAAAATTCCTCTTCCCCAAGGCGGGTTATAGAAACTAGAATCTCAAGGCCAGGCCCAGTGGCTTATGACAATCCCGGCACTTTGGGAGGCTGAGCAGGGAGGATTGCTTGAGGCCAGGAGTTTGAGACCAGCCTGGCCAACATGGTAAAACCCCATCTCTACTAAAAATACAAAAATTAGTCAGGTGGGTTGGCGGCCGCCTGAAATCCCAGCTACTTGGGAGCCTGAGGCAGGAAAATCACTTGAACCCAGGAGATGGAGCTCATAGTGAGCAGAGTGAGCCAGTACACTCCAGTCTAAGCAACAGAGAGTGAGACTCTGTCTAAGAAAGAGACAAGACAAGATGAGAAAAGAAGAATCCCTCTGCCCCAAAGCATGCCTTAAAACCTAAAAAGGTCACTCTCTTTCTTCTCTCCTCCGCTTTTTTTTTTTCTTGATACAGGCTCTCTCTGTTGCCCAGGCTGGAGTGCAATGGTGCGATCTCGGCTCACTGCAACCCCTGCCTCCTGGGGTCAAGCAATTCTCCTGCGTCAGTCTCTTGAGTAGCTGGGATTACAGGCATGTACCATCACAGCTGACTAATTTTTATATTTTTAGTAGAGATGGGGTTTCACCATGTTGGCCAGGCTAGTCTCAAACTCCTGACCACAAGTTATCTGCCGTCCTTGGCCTCCCAAAGTGCTGGGATTACAGGTGTGAGCCACTGCGCCCAGCCTCCATTCTCCCTTGAAGACCCTCATTCCAGAAGGTCCCGCCCCAGACCCTGGAGGAAGGTATGCTGCACAGGGAGACCAAGGTGAATCTGAACAGAGGCCTTGCTGGGCCTCCCTCTCAGTCTGTTACCTCTAGACCATGCCCTTTTGTCCAATCCGATTTCTACACAGCTGTCCATTCTCCACCCAACCTAAGCATAAAAACAGACCATTTTCCCCGAGTCTTTGGGCCTTCATTTCTGAAGGCCCCTACATCAAGCAAAACGTGGATTAAATTAATTTGTTGGGCCGAGTGCAGTGGCTCACGACTGTAATTCCAGGACTTTGGGAGGCCAAGGTGGGAGGATCGCTTGAGCCCAGGCATTCGAAACTAGCCGGGGCAAAATATAGAGACCCTGTCTCTATAAAAAATTCAAAAATCAGTTGACCATGGTGGCACATGAGTGCCTATAGTCCCAGCTACTAGGCAGGCTGAGGCAGGAAGATCCCTTCAGCCCAGGAAATCGAGGCAGCAGTGAGCTGTAATGGTGCCACTGTACTCCAGCCTGGGACACGGCAAGACTCTAGAAAAAATAAATATAAATAAATAAATAAGTTTGTTGGTAGGCCCAGCTCCCCAGGAGGCTGGGGCAGGAAGATCACTTAATCCCAAGAGCTTGAGGCTGTACAGAGCTGTCACTGAGCCTGTGAATAGCCATTGCACCCTAGCCTGGGCAACATAGCAAGACCCCCGTCTCTATAAAGAAAGAAAGAAAGAAAAGAAAGAAAAGAAAGAAAAGAAAGAAAGAAAGGAAAGAAAAGAAAGAAAGAAAGAAAGAGAAAGAAAGAAAGAAAAGAAAAGAAAAGAAAAAGAAAGAAAAGAAAGAGAAAGAAAGAAAGAAAGAAATGTGTTATGCTTTTTGCTTGTTAACCTGTCTTTTGTTGTAAGAGTGTGGGCTATGACCCCTAGGATGGGTGAGAAGAGGGATCCAGCAACGTAGATTTACTGGAAAAAACAAAAGCATGGAACAAAATTGCATGTGTACAACAGAGATGTTAAAATACATAGAGACATTTTTTTTTTTTTTTTTGAGACGGAGTTTCACTCTTGTTACCCAGGCTGGAGTGCAATGGCGCGATCTCGGCTCACCGCAACCTCCGCCTCCTGGGTTCAGGCAATTCCCCTGCCTCAGCCTCCTGAGTAGCTGGGACCACAAGCACGCGCCACCATGCCCAGCTAATTTTTTGTAGTTTTAGTAGAGACGGGATTTCACCATGCTGACCAGGATGGTCTCGATCTCTTGACCTTGTGATCCACCCGCCTCGGCCTCCCAAAGTGCTGGGATTACAGGCGTGAGCCACCGCGCCCAGCCAACATAGAGACATTTGAGGAAAAGATGGAAAGGAATCCGCCCATCCTAGGCTACCACTGTTGGAGGAAGGTACTGGGGAGTGGGCTAAGGATTTTGGTGAGATGGCGAGCTCTTGACTTTGAATGAATGGTAACGTGGTTGTGTTGCTTTTCTAATAAGACAGTCAGTGGGGCAAGCTGGGGGAAAGTGAATGAATGGGGGAAGAGGTGAAGCAGCATAAGGCTTCTCCTCCCCTTACTCTAAGGCAGCCCCTTGGGGCACCCTCTGGTGTCCTTCCAACCCCTTCATTTTACAAAAGGGAGAAAGGACTTGCTCAAAGTGTAAAGCAGGTTAGCAGCAAGCTGGGAGGAAATCCGGATCGCCCCCTCCCCCACAGATTTCCAAACTGTCCTGGCCTCTGGGTCCGTCTCCACACCACCCCAGCCTCCCTTCCCCCGCCACCAGCCCCCTTCCCTTTTTCTCTTTGGCGGCAAATCCAAGAGTTCCCCTGATCTGAAGCAGCTAAACAGCCTCACACCCTTAATCTCACTGTCTGAATGATAAATCCTGCCAGGCAGCCCATTCCATTCAAGCCCTTCACACCCTCCTCTGAGTAGCTGGGTGGTCTCTTCCGCCCAAGTGGGGGCTGCCGGCCCTTCCTTCCACTTAGCATTCCCCCAGGAGTCCAGGACTTCCCGGGAGCCAGGCATTCGCCTCCAAAACAATATCCAGATAAGACACGGCCCTCCCGGCCCCCCTTCAAGGCCAGACCATAAAATAAAGCCGCGTGGGCTTTGCGCCCCTGGACAGAATCCTTTGTCTGGGTTGGAAACAGCCTGAAAAGATGAAAGGGGCTCCCACTCTGACCCCTTCACCTCTTGTTATCTTGGGCCCACTCCCCTTCGACTCTCTGAAGCAGACAGCGGTGTTTTCCCACGGTCACCGGGGTTAACGACGTCTTAGCAGCTAACAGGGAGAGGAATGTAAGGAATGTACCTGCCTAAGGGGCGATTATTTTCATCAAGGACAGGCTGAAATGGATAATGAGGTCAAAAACAAACGCCATCTCTTTCTCAAAGGACTCTCTAAAGACAGGCTATTAGATATAGTTCATTAGTTGGGGGTGGGGGCTAGAGAGCTACTTTTTAGACCGTTGCCTGAAGAGAGATGGAGGCATTTTGCCAAGTTTAGATTCCTCTCCAAGTCAGTAGGGGGCTAAGTTTAGGCTCCAATTCAAGCTTCCAGATAGCTGAGTTTCATTCAGGTGCAGGCAACAAGTGGCGTTCTGGGTTCAAAATATTTGCAAGAGAATGTATTATAACTGTACAAGTGAGATCTATAGTAAAACAAACAAACAAACTAATATCCAAAAATTAAATTTGGAAAACTGATGAGCCAGAATTTATAAACAAAAAGATATTTGTGGGTTCAATTCAGTA